CTTTTTGTGCAGATCCAAGTTCTTCCTACCAGGCCAGATACCAATGAGTTGGACCGTACGTGGAGACTTCAAGGTATATATGTCAGTGTCCGCAGACCTCGGAGTCCCCCTCTATCCTTACTATGTTATTTTTCCTTATTTTCTTTAGACTCTCATGTATAGAGACACTTAGTATTTTCTCTTAGAAGCTTGTGACTTATTTCTACCGGGTTTTGGGAGTTGTAAATTAATTGAATCGCAAATCGTATTTATATTTCATGTGTTGAGATTCGAGTTCAGTTTTATATTCAGTTATTCTGCAAATTGATAGGCTTACCTAGTCGTAAAGACTAGGTGCCATCACGATACCCTATGGAGGAAAATTGGGGTCGTAACAAGTTGGTATTAAAGAAAAGTTTTTATATCAATTTAATAATAACATGTTGTCTTTCCTGTTAAGTTTTTTATTTTTAATAGCAGTATATATGGGAACTCCTAATAATTATGACAAATATATTATTATATATTTAGAGGTCCCCAATTTGCTCCACTCTGAAATATAATTAAATCTTATTTGGTGTAAAAAACTCCAAATGCTAGGGCTTTAAATATTTATTATTATGTTACGTAATGCTTTAGTTGTTAATAAAAAAAAGTTCTCATGGCGTCTTATTAGTTGAAAAAACCAAAAGGAGGGGTCAATATACTTTTGAAATTTTCCTGTATAAATATATTAACAGGTCCAACTAACATAAATTAAATTTGGAAATGGAGTTTAGCTAGCGTGCCTGAATCAAAGAGACTCATAGCTCAATTAGTCAATTCTTCATCAGAATTACTTGCTAGAAACTACTGCGAAAGGTTCGATTAAATGACTCTTTTTCACTCTTTATGGTAATTTTCTTTCTTCCGCTTCAAAATTTATAGGTTCCAAGTTGAACAAACTGATTTCAGCGGGGATGATTGTTTTCGCTTTTGGTTAGATAATTTTATTTTAATTTACAATATCTATTGAGTTAACGGCTTAACGTGGCGTCTAAAGAGCTAATGACAGAAAGACTCAACTACATACTACATACGACAATCAAAAGGAGTGCACGATCAAGTTCTCCGAGTTATTTTCTAAGCTGAAAAATCTTTGTAACAAGAGTACTACTTCTTCAACCCGTGGCTTTTATATTGACGCCTTAAGTACCGGAATGCTTAGAGATGATTGAGTATATTAAGATGTTTAGACTATATATCAAGGTATTTTTTTTGTTTGATTAACCTTACTTCTTACATGTACAATATGTTTTATTGTTAGTTCTATATATAGTTTTTCCTTTTCTCAATAGATTGCATTATAGTGTTGGACTATTATCATCAAACTATTCAAGAGAAAACATTACTGACATACGAAAAGGAAATACATAATCTATGCTCTTGGGAGTAGTCTGATGGTAGTACAATGTCATTCCACTCCTATATCCTTGCGTGCTAATTTTTGAAATTGAAGTAATAATATTATAAAATTAGACTAAATTTTAAGTTGAATATATTAATTGAGATGATTCAGGACTTCTATGATATATAGTTTCTTCCTTGATTGAAGTTAATAGGATCAACAATCGTGATTGTCAGGAACTACACTTTTTTCTTTAACTTTTATTTTATAATAGAAATACAATTTTTAATTTAATATATATAATTTTATACTCATTGAGACAGGGTACACACGCATCGCGTGTACCTTAATATTAGTAATAACAAAAGGTTTTGTTTAAATTAAAATTTCACTAGTATTTTTTTGATGTAATATTAATTTGTAGTTTTATCTGAATTTATATTTATTAATCAATAAAATTATACACATTCAAATATTTAAAAATAACAGTCTTAATTATCTACTAAGTACTGGTATTTAAGTTTATATACGCACGCACACGCACATACAGATATATTTTTAGATTAAGTCATCTTCATCTTTAAATAAAGAAAAAGAACGACCCGTTAGACTCTTGTGGCACTTATTATGATCTCTAGCATAAGAGAATGAAAGAAGTTAGGCAAGCATAACATGTTCAAATGGAATTAAAGTATATGTTTTTATTTTTCTATGGGGGAAGACAAAACTCCTATGTATAGCAGTGGTTATTTTCTTGGGAGTTCCATTTATGGTAAGTTTTCATAGCTTATGCTGGTATTTTCATATCATTCTAAAGTGTTTTTAACATTTAAATGAAACTAAAAAAAGGAAAGCGGAAAAGGGTTTAAACTGTCCATTAATCTTCTTCTATTTTGTTGCGGTCTTGCGGATACGTTGGCCAAAAATGCCATGAATTTGGTGGAACTAACCACAAATGTTTTTTGATTGGTGTCAAATGCCCAGGGTGGCTATTGGCTATTACCACCTTGACAGACATTAACTTCCTTCTATTAGGATTAGGTACGATAAGGCTAACTTCTATGTAAGCTAATTAGAGAAGTTTACACACATGGCCGTCAATATTCATTGTTTACTTTTTTTAGTCATATACATAGTTTATACAGTAATTATACATAATTATACACATATAACTCATAAATTATGCATATATTATATCTCCACTAGCTATTTTTAGTTTAAGTGGTTAGGTAGACGATTATTTGGATTAATTCTTCTTTTGTTTATTGGCAGGGATTTAGGACTGAAGGTGACTTGTACCTCAGTCTGATGGTGTAGACTCATGGTCTCATCGATGTAAAGGATGCTTTTTTGGTGGAATGGAAGTAACATCCCAAGCTGTTGGGGGGTGTAATTTAAAAAAAAAAATCTTCTTTCTACTATATTACATGAGATATGCGCTTCCATCGCTTCTCTAATTAGGAAGATATAACCACTGAAAACTTATAGGTCTGAAGAGAGCTCTTCAGTCTCCTTCTGCAGTACAGGAGCTAGCTAGCCAGGACACATGCCCATATATGTTTGCAACTTTTGTCAAACGTGTGTGTACACTCACTAAGTTTAGAATGAGTATGATCCTAAATTATTAACGGAGTATATGTATATACTATAATTTTAATTTATTAATTTGATATGTACCCATAATACACAATTATAATGGGTTCAATTAAATTCAGAGATACTCTTTAGAGTGGACTATGAACACATAGCTAGGAACACATATCCATGTGTTGATTGGTGTTCCACAGGGCAATTAAGGCTTAATATAGGGAGCTCAGCTTCTTTTTATGCGTAATAGGGCAGAAACCAGACCAGATGTACCTATTCTTGTTCAATGTGAATCTGTTACTGTCAAAGCGCATACCTTCTCCTCATATATTCACTACTGCCAAATTAAAGCACCTTTCTTCCATCATTACATGCTGCGAGTGTACTGAACAGGATGACGACTTTATTTAAAAGTTTAAACTGTTAGCGGGAGAACACACGATCTTAATTACTTAATTGTATTGCTAAAATAGTAAACATGGAATCAGTTGGCAACGCAAGTTTTACGCCAAAAAAACATGATTTACTAATGGGTATAATTAACGATTCAAACTCTTTTTCACTTGCATATTTGTTTGTCCAAAATATATATATATCAGGATTTCAGCTTGCTTTTAATTTATCTCTTAAGGCCAGCTTTTGATCTCTGTGTATATCTCTTACTGTAGCTACTTTGCTACTGGTTACACGTCACGCATGATGTCATTTTACAATTTGCTTCTTTCAAGAATCACAACTAGCTAGGGTTTGCCTTCTAATTCTTTCTTACTAAAGCAAGCTTATATTAATTGAATAATAATATTATTAGAGCTTTTTAGTGAAGCGAGTAAAAGAGGATGGATCGATCGAGGAACAGTGGTTTTCGCTCCCCACTAGCTAGGATCCCTCTTCCGGGAAGATATTGGAGGAGTGGTCCCCTAATCACTTTACAGAAACCCTAGGTTCACCTCTGCTAGCTTAAACCTTAAGTACTCCAAAAATAATGGTGAAATTCAAGTTGTCGATAATATAGAGATCAGACTACTAAAATATTAGCATGTGCTGTACTTTGACGTTCATTATTTACTGTAAAAATGGCTAGTGCCTGGTTCAGGAATTATGAATAATGATATCCAGAAAATCACATTTTGAAAATTTTTCAGAAACCCTAAATAGAGATTAGGAAGGTCCATGGTCATATACCCGAATCCAGTTTACTGAGTGAGTTATATAGCATGCCTCGTTTGACATAATAAAGGCTTTAGAATCTCTAATGACAGATAACTATATATAGTGGTTTCTACGGATTAAGAGTTCTATGTGGTACATTATATTATATATATATATATATATATATATATATGGTCATTAAGTATTTTAAATTCAACTAGCCTTTGAAAGCTGCAGAGGAAAATAATATAATGCTAATTTTGAATGAATTCGTGCTAGCTGGAGGCTTTTAGGCATCAGTACAAATTTTATCGTATGGAAGGAAAATGTATGCCTTAAATAACTATGGTCAAGTATTCAAATTACATGAAAAAACCTTCACTATCAGGTTAGAAATGGAGAATTTACATGGTGATCCGTGTAGTTATTATTTGACCGGCTATTAACAGAAAAAGTTTAATTTCATCTAGGCTTAATTCATCGGATTGATTTTGATCATGATCATATTGATATTAGCTTGCTTTTATTGTCAGCAAGTTAAACTAATAAGTACTTAATTCTGGAAGATATATAACATGATAGCTTTAGGCATCTGATCAAGCAGCTAATTATAGGAATTAATATTATTTCTCAGAAATCAGGAATTGTTGAATAGAGCAAAAAAAGAGAGGGAAAAATGGAAAGCGGTAAAAATATGACAGCATGCTGGATCATTGATTAATACACAGTACGCTCCGATTTTCCTGATATACTCAAACTGCTTGTTGAAAATTGGAACTAAAGGATAAACATATATATTTCTTTTTCAAAAATTCCAAACCTAGATCCATACATGAACCTGCAACTGAAGTAAGGAAAACATAAAGAAAGATCGAAAAAGAAGTTAGAAACACCTGTGAACATTAATGATTATAATTTGAAGATTGTCTCTAGCCGGAATAGTCAATTCTTTAATAGATTTGGAACGACACAGAGAAGATTAGCATGAACCAAAAAAAAAATGGTCCGAATCTTTCACAGTTGAAACTACAAGACTGATCAAAATCATCCCCTTCAGTTAGAGCTTTCCATTATACTTTAAGTAGTGGTAATTTCTTGATTCTCAGATTCACTTGCAGCTTCATCTGTATCTTCATCATTTGAACCTTTGGTCTGATTTGCCCTTTGTCTTTCAAACTCCCTTAATTTATACAAGTACCTCAACATGGCCTCGGCATAGTTGTCAAAACCTAATGAACTGAAAGCCCAACAGACGTCATCTCCATTAACCGTCCTTCGATTCTCCTTGTGACACTTGTCAGATGCTTCTCCAGTAACAAAACTTATAAACTCTGATGCACATTCTTGAATTGTCTCTTTAGCTTCTTTGGAGATTTTGGCAGTTGGTGGCAGGATTTGTTTCATTATCCTTCCTACATTGGCTATCGGAACCAATTTCACATGTTCATCCATGTCCATCTTAATCGTGATATATCAAATGGTGAAAATAGTTATGGGTATTGTTGATCTTTCTTAAATGCAGACACGTTTCTATTTTCTCCGACTACCGGCCAGCAGCTTCTATAAACTGTTTACATGTTGTAGTGTATATAGGCGGATCTAGATTTAAGTTAGTGGGGGTAAAAAATCACTATACAGAAACTTTTATATGACAAAGGGTGTCAATTTAGAGCGTGTGTTCTTTTTTTTGTATATGTGTATCGTAGATTTTCAGCTATATATATAGTTTGAGTTGGAAGAAGAAAAGACACCAGATCGTACCTCATAAGGTTGATTTCGCCCATAGTATTGTATGTATGTTTGTATATACATGTTAGCATGCATGTGCATGGAGAAGCGTGACATACATGGGTAGAAACACACATGTTGGTCTAACCTTAGCAACTACCAAGTGATTATTCAGAATGAATGGTTAGTATATATATATATATATATATATATATATATATATATATATATATATATATATATANGGTTAAGAATCAATCAAAATTGACATGGTCATACTAAGAACAAACTTTAGAGTTGAAACAATATGTTTATATCGTCCTCTTTTTGTTACAAATGCTCCAGATTGAAATGAGAGAACTGCTTACGATTTAATCATTTTATTTCTCATAGGTTAGATTTATCTAGATTTTGATTATGCCATGAGTATTTAACCAAACAAATTAAATTCAGATCTTGACTCCTTAGTCAAACTTGTGCCAAGATTAGGGATTTTAAAATATTAAGTGACAATATAATCGAATCCACTAATTCGCATAACAATCTGTATTGGGGCAAAACCCACTTTTTAAAAGTTGAAACCTGTAAAGCTTAAGTCTATTAGGGTAGAAATGGTCCCCGCCCCCAAACCCCCCTCCACATATGTGTACTGTTAACTAAATAATCCTAAATTATTCGTTGAACTGATCATTTAAACTATTAACAGTACAGATTGAAATGAATGGACGACATTTATGCACGTTTGCATGTACTATATTAATTAATCCAATTAAAGAGCATAAAAAGAGGGAGTGATCACCTATACGAAACCCTAGTGTTTGATTACTTCATAAGATTTAGGTTTTTGTCGAGTTTTGTCACTTATATGGCGGCACACCCCTTTAGCTTTATTGCATTTGAATCTTTTAAGCTTTCAAGCATTTTTATTAAGCCCTAGCACCTCACATGAAGTTTACTTCACATTCTGCTTTTTAAATTTTACTACTACCCTCTTATAATTAAGATTTACCTTAACGGCATTGACTTGATCGATCTTGTTACTCTTTCTCTAATAATGCTAATGATTTTGTTTAACAAATTAACTTTGGTGAGGATCACCAATTCTATAGCTTAATTTAGCCACTGTTAGACGATTAGGCCTAACTATATTGTGGTCGTGAAATTATTGAAGGATACTAGTAGAAGGTGGAATATGAATATTTTTGTTTCGAAAAGAATAACTTTACAGTTAAGGATGCCTAATTATATTGTGGAATCTTGCTCTATTGGCCACTAAAGTTAATTAAGGGTAGAGATGCTAATTTATAAGCATAAATTCCCCAATAAGTATTTATTTTCGTGGTATTAGTGTACATTTTAGAATGATAATAAATATTTATTCCGCATTCAAGTGATATGATTGAGAGGTAACATTGATCATTAATCACAGAATTTGCAGATTAAAGATTTACCATCTCTATAGATTAAATCATGAAGTAATTATCGCAAATAAAAGTGATTCATTTAGTTGACCGTCGGATAAATTGGTTAGATTACAATATCACAATTAGTGATAGGAGGTCCTCCATTTTAGATTAGATATTATTGTTTGGTGTCTCTCCCAATTATCATCTCTTTGTTAGACTTGTCCTCTGACCCCTATCTCTTTAACTTTTTCCGTTACAGTTCCTGCCAATTCCATGTATTCGTAGTGGATAAGTAAGAAAGGCGAAAACTTTAGCACTAGTACATTAATGTAATAAATTTAACCCCTAATATTAGTCAAGCGAATCAAAAAAGAGTTCGGCAGGGACGTCCAAACTGTGTTTAATTTCTTGTTTTTAAGAAAGACAATCTTAAGGAGTAATTAAGATCGATGTCGAAATGATATCTTCATAGAAGCTACAAGTCATTAAATTCAACATTCCTTAAGCATCATGAATCTTTAGAATTTTATGTGGCTATTTGAGTTAATTCTTCAAATTTTATCCCTTCGCTTGTTTTATATGACACAAGATATTTTCATGGAAACTTCATATTAAGATCAGGATTTCATAACCATTTCTATTTGTTTATTTCTTGCTATATATTTTTGAATTTAAATTTGATAGGGTATATAAAACTTTCATATTCCATCAGGTTAAGTTTAATTACAATAATAAGCCATAGCAAGCCTGATACGTGAACAATAAATAGCCGGTCAAACTGAAATATTGCTGTAAACATTCTTTATACTGTCAACTTAACTTAAGATTGTAGTTGTGCAGAACATTCTTATTGGTCTGACAAACTTGCTTTTGCAAGTTAGCTTAATTTATTGTTTGGATTAGCTTTTAAAAAGTAGCTTATAATCTAAAAGTCAAAACTCATGAGTTGATAATATTTGTTATAAGAAAAATCAAATTATGGTGGATGTCTACTCTTCCTTCATGATCTTCTCAAATGCTTAATGACTTATTCAATGACATATTTCTATGCTTAATTACATATTCAATGACATATTTTTCTTCACTTTTCATGCCTATATAAAGGCCTTGTAATAGATAAAAAAATACACACAATTGAAGAAGAAAATCTCTTCCTTCTCTCTATCTCCATTTCTTGTTCATGTTTTACTAAATTGCTTTTATTTCATAACAACATGTCTTGTTTATGTTTTACTAAGTTGCTTTTATTTTATAACACGTTATCAGCACGAATTGCTCATTTCATAATCTTCTATGTCAAGACTATGTAAATTATAAGCAGGCAATGAGATCAAGTACTTTGAAAAATGTCTTGGATGATAATACAAAGATAAGTTTTACATCCATCTAAACCCATTCATATTTTCATATCTTTGCATTAACTTTATGTGCAGTGTTTAGTAAAAATATTTTTTTCAATTGTATCCAGTGAAATAAAGAACTGAAAAGGTATGTCTTTATTTGCTACATCTCTTATAGGACAAAGATAATATTCTAACGTATATATATGTTCTGATCTTTTACATACTATGATAGATAATTATTAAGATAATTTAGTAATAATATTTTTACCATCACATGATGTATTTCATTGAAAGCAAAATTATCAAATATGTAGGCGATTTTACAGTACCTTGCAAATTTGGCATTCGAATATACAATCAATATAAACTCATTATAGTTATAATTTATAATAGTCACAGTTATGCATTAAGCCTTAAATATTTTTGCTGGAAACATAAGGCTCATTCCTCCGTATTGGATTTTTTTGGTGAAGTTCTTATAGTCTTTGAAATATAAGTGGTTATAGGTTATCTGCACCTTTCCCCTAATTAATTTATTAAAATGTAAAAGTGATTGTATCATTTGAAAACAAAATGGCATATATCCTAACTAGCATTTTTGTTGCAGAGGAACTGTTTCAAGATTGAAATAGTTATATATGTCTTCTTGAAAGTTAATTTACTTATGCCTATAATTATGAAGTAATAATATTTTAAAGGCTCGAGTGCGAGTCCTAGTAAATTTTGGCCTATTATGCCAAAGATTGAGGGTAAGACAATGGGTTCAAGTCCCAACGCACTATGTTGATGAAAAGACGTTGGATTCAAGTTCCAACGCATTATGGCCTAGCATGCCTTTATATGGGTAAGGCATTGGGTTTGAGTCCTAATGCACCATATTGATAATAATAATAACTAAAGAAAAAATAATGTAATTTTCATGAAAAAGCATGAAGCTTGTCCCACTTGATTTGCTCCATTCTTGAAGTGAATGTGATAGCAGTGCATGATAAGTCTAAATAAAGACAAGTGGTTGACCAATGAATGTGGGCGTGCGAAAGGCCAAAATAATAATAGTTATCACTATGGTAATTATAAAAAGGGAGAAATTCTTTGAAGAGAATGTGACTTGTGATAAATATTGAGATTGCATACTCATTCCTGAAAGTGAATGTGAAAATATATATATGATAAAGATTATGCATAATAATGTACTTGTGCATAGTTGGATAAATACTACAACTCACCTCTAAGGGAGGTTTGAGACAAAGAAAGATAATGAATATTATTGTGTAGTTACATAAATATATCATTGGTCGCATGCATATGATACGCCAAAATATATTTTGTCATGCCTTATGAAAGTTATTAAAAGCAAAATTAAAAAAAAAAAAAATTATTTTGCTTGTGATGATTTTGAACATTACAATTATTATGATATGATTCTCTTTGTGAAGGAGACATTCATTATATGGATGGTGTGACAAAAGATCTTGTAGTACAAAAATAGTTAAGAGTTCTGAAAGAACTAATTTGTTACTACCCGGATGAATGAAATTGTTCATAACATTAATATTGTAGTAAGTCTCAAAAGAAATATTTTGATTTACAAATATATTAGCCAAAGTGGTTGGCATATTGAGACTATAAATGAAAAGAAGATTGAATATCTTTATATTACTATAATCATACCGGGTAAATATGAAAGGTTACCTGACTTTTCTTTTATTTGTACTACACAAGTATAAGCATGATGATGCAATCACAAGCCACAAGTAAACTAGAGGTTTACTGAAATAAATATTAGTTGGCATGACCGGTTGACCATCTCGGTTCAATTATGATGCGAAAAAATTAATTGAGAATTACATTGGCATATATTGAAGAAATATAAGATTCTTCAAGAATTCTCTTGTGCTGCTTATTCTCATGATATACCAGTTAAGGTTAGGGATTGAATCCCTTGATTTCTGGAACGAATAAAAGGTGATAAATATATGGGCCCAGTCACCTTCCATGTGGACCGTTTACTATTATATGATTTTCATAGATGCATCTATTTTATGGTCACATGTGCATTTGTTATCAACTTGTAGTTTGGCTTTTGCAAGATTGATTGCTCAAATTATTAGAGCACAGTTCCAGAATATAAATTATGATGATTTATCTTGATAATACTGGTTTAAATCCAAGTTGGTTTAGTAGAAATTGTATGCCTCCAATTATATCTAAACCATTGGTTATGAGAACAAAATTGCCAAAATAAAATTTGGTATTTGATGTATTATTTAATATACAACAGCACTTGTAAGCATCTAGCCAAGTTATGATAAGTTCTCCCTATCACAATCGGTTCAGGGTCAGGAACCAAATAATTTCCATCTAGAAA